ACAAATATAAATGTGATAAGCTCAATATTTTGATGGTTGTCAAACCAAACAATTGCTCGTATACTTAGAGTAGTATCTGTAAAGTTTAGGAAAAATTTATGCTCCATGTAGGCTAGAAAATTGGTAAAGAAAATCAAATATCCTTTTAGTATGATAAATAGTCTCTACTTCCTGAACCTCATGTTAAGCATGCTTTTCCTAATGCTGACTCTATTCTTCATGCAAGGGTCTCTGATTTTTGCAACAATACAAGAGGATGGAATTTTGATCTTTTAAGCCATTATTTTAATTCTGATGTGATCAAACGTATCTCTATTGTTCAACCTCCTAATCATCAGGGTGAGGAAGACGTCCTTTTTTGGCAACCTTCTTCAGAAGGTAATTTCTCAATTAAATCCACTTATAAGGTTATGGAGTCCCAAAAAGATAAGCATCACTTTGATTTATGGAGGAAGATTTGGAAATGGCTTACGTATGAAAAAATAAAATACTTTCTATGGAAGGCCACCTTAAATCGTCTCTAACTCAATCTCATCCATACAACTGGAAATTCTACATAGGAACGCACATGTCCTTTTCGTTGTAACTCTCTTGACTCCTCAATCCATATTCTTCGTGACTGTGAAAAAGCTAAAAAGGTTTGGAAAAAACTTGTCAATCATACTAAACTTAACACCTTCTTTTCTCTTAATATACAGGATTGGATTACTTGAAATGCAAGGGTTGAAGCACGAGGCCTAAAGACTAGAAGAACTACATGGCAGAGACTCTTTGCACAAGATTGCTAAAATATTTGGAAAAATATATGCAAAAAGTTATGTTCAGAAGAAGATACAATGAACAATGACATTGCATTCTCCAGCACCCAACAAATAAACAATGACATGAAGCTCCTTTTTAAAGCCTTCTGTTTGAATAGAAGAGATAATACTACTGAGGCTAAATGGAACCCTCCAAAACACAGATTGGTTAGGCTCGACACTGACGGCTCAATCAACAAGAATGGAATTACAGCTTGTGGAGACATTATCAGAGACGACAAAGGGAATTGGATTAAAGGATTTTTCAAGCATCTCGGTTATCAGCCAAACACTTTAGCCAAACTTATGGGAATTCTCGAAGGTCTCAATCTCTGCCGGAATATGAATTTAACTAAAATTAATGTTCACACCAATTCTGTGGCAACATTGTTGCTTATCAATAGAGGATACCGCAGAAGTCATCCATTATCAGGCATCATTAGGAAGATCAAAGAACTCACAATGAGAAACTGGATTGTTACCTTTGACCACGTTTATAGAAAAGTGAATAGATGTGCTGACCTATTAGCTTATCGATTGATGCATGATACTTTCAACATTATGATTTTAGATTTTCCTTCGATAGACTGTAATAGTCTCATGATTTTAGATATGACTAGACTATAGTCCTTTTGCATGGCTTTGCCGTGACCTTGTATTAAAAAAATATCATTTAAGATAGAATAGTTTCTTCTGGCTTTGCTATAGTTCTTTTCCTTTTAATCTTTAACTACACATTTCATCTAATTTTAATCCATAATTTTTTTAAATATTGAGCTGGTAACATTTTTTATTTATATTCCTTCATTCATTTTCTACACCTCAAGAGATAAGATCATTCTTCATTTAAACGTTACACGTGCAAAATATATTCATTTATCACATAATCATCTTCTCATTGTAATTTCCTTTAGAAATATCTAAAATGTAAATAACTCCTTTGATGCTTGTTATAAATAGACACATTTCTTTATACATTGCGTAAAGTTTGATATTTGAGAAATAACTCAACAAGCTAAGTCACACCGCGGTTAACTGCCTGTAAATGACGAGAATTGTTGTGAATTTTATTTTGCATGTTAATAATAATCATGTTATTGCATTTTATTTTTTTAATTACTTAACAGAATTAAATCTTTCTTATCGAGACTAGAGTCTCATAGTTAATTTGAGAATCATCGTCCAAACGAATTACAATTGGGAAATAGGGATCCGTTGAGGGTTGTTTTGAGAGGATAAAAATGACCAATAATAATAATAAATAAATAAAAGCTGGCAAATAGAAGGACACGCTTTTGTAAACTGGTTTTTAGTATTTAATGGACAATGATGACTTTGGTTGTGTAGCTGGCAGAATCACAAACTTGCAAACAAAGCAAAAGTAATATCAAAGATTCTAATAAATATACTTCTGTTTATAGGCAAGAGTGGCAGTTATTTAGTAGAATTGAACAGAAATGTATAAACAATTACGTCCCACTTGGTTTGTGTTTGAGAAAAAATGATGGTTGTTTGGACATTGACTAGAAATCTGACTGATTATTCGGCTTGAATATGGACCCTAAGTTCATCGGACGGACCTAAGGTGGGCTAACCGATAAATGGTCAGACAAACATATGAAAGGATTTATATTTTTTTTCTCGATATTAATTTCATTAAATAAAAAATATTGCAGTTTTGCTGAATATCACAAATATATGAGTGTGCATGGATCAACATCGCCATGGTTGGTTCATATAAATGTACAGAAAAAATGTGTCTAGTTCATGATAGTATGGCCACCCTAAATAGCTAAAAACTTAAAGCATGAGATAATGTAGAATCTTGAAACTTTATTTTTCGAATCTTGATGGACCCTACGGTTCAACCTAATATAGACAAACCTCGAGAAGGAATTTTGAAAAAACAGCGTCCCAGAAGTAGAAGCCGTTGGCTTACCTTGACTTACTCACGAAGATTCATTCAATTACAATTTAATTATTAATTAGTATGGATTTACTATAATATATTGACTGGATTACACTTATCGTGGTCATTTACACGACGCGGATTGAACATGATCTTGTCACGCTTTATCCATATCAGTAACATTAGAAAATACTGACCATCATTGCTTTTGGTAATTGAGTGCCATAAAAATATCTCAAATTAACTTCTTTAAATGAAGGTGATGTGCAAGCCAGGTTGCATATAGAAGTAACTTGATAGCTGTGGTTCGATATCCACCGGAATTATTACTGTTTGAAAAAGCATATATCCAATTAAGAATAAGATATTTTGTTTATCGCGCGACGACTGCGAGTGCGAACCACTTGAATTAATCATCGGCAAACACAATGTTCTGTACTAAATAGTCATCATCAAATAATTAATGCATGAAGAGCTAAAAATTAGACCTTATGTAGTAATAATGATAATAATTAAAACGGGACGTTGCCGTCCTTTTCAGAAGCCTCAGACGTGAGAATTAAAAATACTGGAACCGCGTGAGGAGCCAAGAAAAAGAACCACTTTTTTTTTAATAACATTAAAAAAGCTGGGAAAACATGCACAAGAACGAATATGTGTGTGTATTGGGATGTGGAGGGGACGTTGTTTGGGGGTGGCTGAGGACAAATACACAACCTTGAAAAGTGTCCCGCTTTATTGCGTCATTATTGGATTTTTTTATAGGCTGCCAACTTGCCATGCATATTTTAAATGTGCTCGATGTAATAAAGCAGCAAAGCAGGATGTGACGTGGCGGTAAAATACAAAAAAGTTGCGGCAAATTCGTTTAAGTAAAAAGCCAAAAATAGCACTATACATTGTCCAGTACAGTACTCAATCAGCACTGTGAGGCCTTTTTCTTATCGGTTACCGAGTTAACGTCTTGAGGATCGAAACCATGCTCCTTTCATTTGTGCTCAGATTCAAAACCCAGACTATCGTTATATCTGATAATACACCCTGAGACAAGATTGGTCTGAAATGCCATTTTCGCCGATTCCTCAACTGATCAAAATACGGCAGCCTGTCAACAGGTTCCGGCCATAACTTGAATATGTGAAATATTCAGGCAACAAGGCAGGTGCCAGTCACTGTGTCAAAAGCATGGCACGATGTGGAATGGAGAGCCCCAGAATTGACAGATGGAAAAAAGTGGAATTCGCCTTTCCATCCTCTGCATTTCACAAAAAGCGAATATACTCTTCCGTTCCAGACTCTTTAGGCAGCTAGGCAAGCGTCACATTTGTAAAATCACAGAGAAACAGTAAGTTCGCATGAAGAAAATGAAAGTCAGTACTGTGGGAATTATTGTGGCAACATTGTTTCACTCAGTTTGTTCAAGAGAAAAATACAGTTTTGAAGGAAGGATGAGCGTTGGGAGTAATAATAAATTAATATATATGTGAGGACTTGGAAGGGGACTGAAGTCCAATGCCTTTGTGGCTATGGCTAGGGTATCGGAACTTTCTCTACACGAAATCACGGGACATCGTCCCTAGCAGAATGCAGAAGGATGTAATAAAATTGCCACAGCACAAAAGAGTAACAAGGATTTGGACCCCTACACATTATTAGCATTCGATTCCGCCTCAGATACACATGTCATCAGAAAGCAAATACATGACTATTGACACTTAATGTAATTGCGAGGAACAGATATTGAGGTCTGTGTACTGAATACTAGTAATGAACTTCATTTTTCATTTCAGAAATTGTCACCTTTTCTCCCACTTCCCTTTCTCCTTCTCTTGATTAGAGAATCGAAACTGGTAATGGATTTCATTCTCTGTCAATGATAAACCTGATGCTAAGAGGCAGAAGCCTTTTTTATCTTTCGGTGTTTTCTTCTGGTACACATAAATTTATTATTGTTAAAGGCAATCTTATTTATAATACTGTCATATATTAAATACAAATATATGGGGATTTGAAGCTTAATTTATCATGTGATTTTTTATATTTTTTTTTTTACCTGAAACGGGCCACAGCCCAAACTGTCAATTCGATTGGCTTTTTTGGTACATAACATGACGGGTTTTTGTTAGAGAAAATAAGATTTGAATTACGATATTGGGCATGCGTTTCGAGCCCACTAAGAGCCCAATGGAACTCATCACGGCGTTGTAGGCTTGAAGCCCAGCCCCGAAAACCCCCACACAGTACGCCCTAATCAGTCAAGACTCACAAAACTGAATTCCCTGTCAGAAAAATGTAGGTTAATGAATGATATTTCACTTTTCCCAAAAGAAACAGTGCATCGGCGGGAAAAGTTTGAAGCACTCAGCGACGCCGGTGCGCCTGAACGATCTGCGTCGAGGGAAATTCATCAAGCTGGCTCAGTCGATGCTGTGCCTGCGTGTTATTTCCCATCTCGCCAGGGCTATACTATCTTCTCCGCAAAAAAGTTATCGCTCCTCTTCGTCTTCGACTCTCAATCACTTGCGAAACTCATTCGACAACGACGTCCGAGCTGGTAGCGCGGTTTATCAGCACGCTCTTAAATTCCAGCGACCCGCCATTATTGAGTGGTGCGAACAGCTCGACAATACTGTCAATTTAATTGGCTCCGTCACTCGCAATCCTCAGGTTATTTATCGAAAGACCGGTATTTCTGGCGTGCACACTTCGCTAAGGGTGAAACCTTCCAACGGCTCGTCCTTCTGGTGAGATTTGTTACTCACTAAGCTCGTAAGTTTGGTCAGATTGATGAGCTTGTTCAGCTGGAACTGTTATTCTGCAGGTGTAGATTTATAGCATCGTTTGCGTTTGCTTCCATGAATTGTTCCATGTGAGATCGGGTTCAAACTGGCTTGCGGTTTAACCTTTTTTATAATCTGTGCTTCATTTTCACCTGTTGTTTCTACTTTCTAGCGTTAAATTGTCCCATTCACTTTGCCATAGTTAAATTCTGCAGCTGCAAATTGAAACAATTGTTATTAGCATAAGTCATGGTTTGGCGAATAGTTTGTAATGCAACATTTTTTTTCCCGCTTTGTGACCAGGGTTCTTCTGTTGATGTGGAACGGTGTGGGGGAAATTGCTTCTAAGCATTTAAAACAAAACGATTTTATCTTTGCTTCCGGTCATTTAGAGTCTTACGAAAAGGTTGATGAGAGAGGAAACATCCAATTGTTTTATAAGGTCCATATTTCTTTTGTTTGCATGCCTAATTCATCTGTAATTCCTCGTCTGATTATTCTCGGCTTGAGCTGTTTTAGAACAGAATTTGCTCTTTGTTCTAGTTTTTCTTAGGATTTGATGTAACATAACGTAAACAATTGACAATTCCTTTTTTTCCCCTCTCTGAAGGTAATTGTCAAGGAGTTCAATTTTGTTGCTAAAAGGCCATGTTACGCCGGGCATAAGGTATTAGAATCTGCTAAGGGTATGTTGCTTATTCATGCTTACCCGCTCCCTGCTCTCTCTCTCTCTCTCACACCCCCACAGGGGACGGTTATCCTTTTTGTTTGACAATGCTGCATATTTTTGGACCAAGTAATATGAACATTGAGGCTATATTTTCGACAAACCGAAGTTCTTGGCATGAGCAAGTGGAAGTAATGATTGAAATCTAAAATAGTTCGGATTGGAGCTCCTGGGAAGATATTTCTTATGTAATTTTTATGCGCACATGTACATTTGCAATTTTAAAATCTATTTTCCCCTCACACGAATATTCCTTTATTGGAAAGGGCTTATCTTCCACTTTTGATGAAGTTGGTTTTAATTAAATTGGAATCTTAAAAATCACTGGCTTCGTATAACTTTGACTCATGTTCTTTCTATTTCTTGTGTTTGTCGTGGATGAACGCGTTCTTCTCTAATCCGTCAGAGAAAAGTACTCGCATCCAAGATTATGAAAACCGGCTTCACTTGTGGCAAGTGTTTTTTACCAATCCTCATGAGTGGTGGGATAACAGGAAGCGCAAGTCAAATTCGAAGTTGCCTGACTTTAAGCACAGGGATACTGGCGAAGCTCTGTGGCTGAATCAAGATGACCCTCCGTGGGTTAAAAGACAACTTGAAAAACTTGATTCAGAAATTGCGGAAGGACTTCTAGGTTCTTGTTCTAGAGTCACTACTTGGGTTTACCATGATTAGCAAAGCAAAAAACGCAATGAAAGAATACGATTATGGTCTTGGGGCATGGTTTTGTGCTTATGACTACCATTTGGAAAGGCATTAGACCGAGAGCCCTATCATAATTTTTGCTCCAGGGGAAGGGTATAAGAGAAGGGAAATCATTTTATCATTGTTGTAACAGGAATCGGGGAAGCTTGTAAGACAAGCTTTTGTCTGTACATATAACCATATGTAAGTCACAGGAGAGGAGTCAGTGTAAGATATCGTTGTAGAATCCTAAATACCAATTGAAATGTAAATTTTCTCTCTTTTTTCGTTTTTGTTCCATTAGGAGGCTCTGAACTTTTAATTTCTATTTCCATGACCTCACCTCACCTTGTAGTTTAATGTTTTACCGGGATTAACTTTGCTATGGCAGTTTCGCCATATGCATGAAGTAAGCTGTCATAGACTAAGTAAAGCATCGTCTGAGTGCCTTGGAACAAAAATATGCATCCCTCAATGACATAAACCAAACGTTATTTTTTGATTGAACTATGCGCGTACATTGCTATCAGACTTGAATCCATTCATGAAATTGCAACAAAGATTGCGTATGAAAGTGGCAGCTTTTTACGATGTCATCGTGCAAGGAGGCGGAAGAAAAAGCACAAAATGGGGGGATATCAAAGAAATCTGGTGGGTATATACTCATTTATCCTTAGAGGAAGACTGTAAAACTCGTCATTTCTAACATCGCCCTTCCTGTTCTGGAAAGGCACCCACCATGGCACTCCTCTATCGTTAGCTGCATGTTTTGCCTCCAGAGTGTTGTCAACAAGCGTTCCAACAATTATTGCCACAGCAGGGGATGAAGAGAATATGGTGTTCAAAATGTCATTGAACTGGTGTCAAAATTAACTACATCAGATAACTTGACCAATAACCATAAAGACCTAAATAATCACTTTGGAACGAAGAAAAGTTCGCTTACCCATCCACCAGCTGTTCTAACTGGACCGTGACCATCTGGTGCTGTATTGGTGACAAAATATTGGGGTATGGAAATCCCCAGAAACAAGGTTAGCCCTAAAACATAGAGATTTCTCATTGAGTTGTTATTCGCAAATTGTATGAATGAAATCCCAACAGCAGCTGCCAGAAGAATCAAAACACAGAAAGTTAATGTCATGTAGATAACTAGCAGTCTGTATTCTAAAACTATGGATAAATAATAGCAAAATCACCTACCCACAATGGCAAATAAAATACAGTATATGGCAGCAAATATTGGCAAGGGAATTGATGCAAAAAAGGCTCCAAATTTCCCTGAACGTTTGGGGACATGGCGAGTCAATTATCGAGAAAAAAATAAATGCATGACTGAAATGAAATTCCCTTCAACTAAGTCGAGGTACATAGTATACCAAAAATAGAGAAGAATATCATGAAACCACATGAAATCTGCACTACTCTTCTGCTCCCTATATGAGTTAGTCCTAGCAGGCCAACATTCTCCCTGTAGCATCAATTGTATCAATCAGTATAGTGACAAGAATAGGAAGATAGTAAAATCAAGTTGTGATACAATTCTCGGGACTCTTCTTTCTTACACAGACGCAGTAGTACCAACAGCAGCACCAAAAATGCCCTCGAGCAGCATGCCAATGCCCTGTACATAGGACTAGGAGGTCAGAAACAACAGGTTGGATTATATATTCTCTATATAAGCGTATGAGAATAATTCTTCACTTGCAGCCCAATACTTCGGCTGAGCACATGTGCAGGAGGGGGTGTTGCACCAGAAATCCTGGCCGCTGCAAAGAAAGTTCCAGTTGACTGCATCAAAGTATTCAAAATTTCTTCAGAAAAGGAAACTCCAAACCAGTTTCATCCATTTTAACGCATTGTCTGGGAAGATAAGAATAACATAAAGACCATGGTTTTAAGGAATAGTTGTTCGACCTCTGCGGAGGTGACAAGTGCAGCCCCCATCATCCCAAAGACATGGCTTGCTCTGAATATGGGGGTACCCCACTGAAACGGATAAGGAATTTTGATCCTAGAATAACATGTACTTTAATACCAGTTTCCAAGGAAAAAGAAAGAAAGAAAAGGGGGCATTGAAGTTCAGACGAATGGATAAAGGTTGTAGAATCTGAGCATACCAAGGAGCGGAAGAAAGGAGGTAGGAGCGATCTGTACGGCAACTCTCTTGGGTTCGTACTTTAGTAGTAGAGTAAGCACCAGACACAGTGAGGACAGCTGCAAAAGCCCAGATAATGCCAATGCAGAGAAGTAAAGCGAACCTCTCAAGCACATGATGTGTGGTATCGTGAATGCGCTTCAAATACTGTGTGGTACCGTAAAAAAGGTGTTGTCATGTAAAAGGCAGAGGACTATGAAACTCTAATATACTGTTTCAGATAAGGCTTAGAATTGAACCTGCTGCGTTATGATCAGTAGAATAAGCATTGGAAGTCCAATCTCCACGCAATTTGCGAGCTGTGTGTAGAACAAGAAATGTTATTTAATGAACTTCTTTGCCCTTTTATTTTATTGTTCCAATTAACCAAGTATCCTTTCAATCTTGAAAGTGGACTAGGGTTATTTACCATTGGGAAGCCCCTCATGAACAGACCAAGACCGACCACGCAAACCACTGGTACAATGACTATGGGACTAAAGTACCTGATAAAAAAAGATGGAAAAACTAAAGTTCTGAGTAACTGTTAATTGATCCGGCTTTACACGTAGACCATGGATTACATGAATTACCTTGTTAAATTACCCCATACTTTACTATAGCCAAGGAAGATGTTGATGAAAGAAGAAACAATGAGGGACCCTTGGATTGTTCTAATTGTGTAGGTAAACCTCTACAAGCAACAGTATCATAACGTTTTAGAATTTGTTATCCTCGAGTTTGATAAACTTGGTGAGAACGTGCTTTAGTTCAGAGTCGAGATGTTTTAAGTACACAAACCTCGTGCTCAGTTTCGAATACGTGGTCGGTGAAATTATTTAGGATAGACATGATGGGGAGTGTGAAAGCGAGAGATCCACGCATCACTGTAGGAAGTCTTGACCCGATCAAGGTCTGAAGCAGTGTGTTCAGTCCAGACATAAACAACAACGTTTGAATCACACGAGCTTTGTCACCCTGCTCAACAACACCCGACACTTGTAAGATCTACAATGAATCTAAGATGTGTCGGAGCTTAACATGAATTACATCACAAAGTGAACGTACGTGGTTTCCGCCCATTTGAGGTACGATGGTGGTGGCAATCAGAACCGTCGTTCCAAGCATTACGATGTAGTGTTGGAAAGCCAGCAAAACCGCCTCCGCTGCCAATTAGTCACGAAGGACAAGGGATAATGATAAATTGAGGACTTTGTTTGATATCGGTTTAGATGACTTTTGTATGTCAACACTTATAATTCCATTAAATGAAAAATATAACTTCTCACAGAATCAAAGGCAACAAAAAGCCATTTGCAACTAGCTCCTTTAACAAGTTGGGTGTATGAAAAGGAAATATTCACAAGAAGATCCCTTCTCAGCCTCTAATGAAGATAGAGACATATAATGATCATTCATTTACAGATACTAAACTATTTAGAAGAAGCCTCTTGACATTCCATCTCTAAATGCTTTTAATGACTTTTTTTCAAGCTTTTAGGCGTAAGCAGGGGATATTTGTTAAAAAAGTGACTGAGAAAATCAAAGCAGAGAAGGGGAGAATGGAAGGGAGATACTGACGCCATGAAGGATTTGAATGAATGCAGTAGTCAAGCTGATGGAGTTGCTCGGCTGGTGTCCAAGTGGGTCCCCTTGAAAGAGCAAGATTAGGCGGTGGTGGTCTTGGCAGAGGTGCTTGTACCGGTGGTGGTGGCTGGTGGTTCTCCGTCTCCCCCATTTTCTAGCTTATTCCCTGTACTTGGCTCGTTCTTCACTTCTGATCTGCTTTTCACACGTTGCCTATGGTGCGGGGACCAGACAGGTTCTCCGATTCTTGTTTATTTCCGAGGGGCCAGAGGGAGTGTTGAAAAGTAGACTTGCGGAAACAACTTGAAACTAGAAGCAAGCTTGAATGGCGCTTCTATAAGCCAAAGGAAATGAATGAATCAAAAGGTAAGTCCGGTATTGTCTGCTATATTCATGTCATTGAAGTCATACGAGAGAAAGTTTGCTTGTTCACGTATGATACAACGAAGGAGCCTGAGAAAGAGGGAAGAAATGAGAGGCAAGATCATGTGACATGGTTATGGCCAAGATGCGAGGGGTTAAAGAAGATGGGCTACAAAGTTCGAGGAGGTCAAAGTTACGCTGCTAGTCGCAAGTCCGTACATCCTGGCCTTTGATATCTTTCTTTCACCCCTCTCGTTCCATACCGTTATGTTAGTGAAAAATTAGTCGTTTTTACTGGACTCAACCTTTCATAGCATCTTTTCTTTTAATCAAATCAGCGCCTTGTCTTCTATGATATGTGAATTAGTATGACCATTTTCCTTTGTTAGTGTTTCACTTGGACCCACTTTTCCAGACGAGGCTTGCAATCATTAAATAATCAAATGCCTGGTCACTTCTACTAACATTTTATCATCTAAGTGTACGGGGAAAAAAAAAAACACACACACACACACACACACGTACATAGAGAGGGATCCATTGCCATGAAAAGGAAAAGAAAGATTTAAAATCTCGCGCCAGCATGTGAAAGCCACATGATTGTTGGAGACTATAAAATCGCCCCATCATGTTATATTTGTTTATAGATTATAATAATGAATACCGACAGTTTTTTTTTTTGGGCCAAAGAATAATAACGCGTTAATTACACAAGTCTAGTAACAAAAGGTTGCCGTTGCCGTTGCCGTTGCCGTCGGCAGCGCTGCAGTGCACCGACCACACATCTTTAAGCTTCATCGTCTGGTTTATCTATTAACTATTAAGCATGCAACTATTCACTTGGAAAACAGGCCACTTGAGAGATAATGTTAAGCCTTGAACCATGTGCCTCTGAATTAATCCATATGCAATGGCCCCTGTTCAAGAAATTTATACATTTCATTTTTGACGAAGTTTTCCATGATATATATATATATATATCCTTTGTACTGTATATGAAGACCAAAAAATATTAATTTTTTAAAAAACTTATATTTTAGGTTATTAAAACACCCAACAAATACTTTATATTTGAGGCTGATGGAAGAGTATTTTCTTTTGGTTTACAAGATTGTGGTCGTCTTGAATCGGATCAATGCACATCTGAAAATTTGGGATCCTACCATTCTATCACTTGGTCTATTTCACCTTTATTTTACTAAGTTGTACAGCTGACGATTTTGCAAATAGCTGGTACTTTTATGCTTGTGTTTTTATCACATTCGTGCTTTTACCCGAATCCGTCATATTTAACCATATTACGGCAGCACTATCGTTGTGCTGCTTGCTATTTCACTTGGATAAACTACCTCATTTCATGTTTCCTCATTCACTGGGCTGAGGATTTAATTTCAGCGGCGTTGAGAACTTCATTTTTATCTTTTTGAAAAATTCTTAGAGAAATTTGATACACTAATCATCTATAAATTATCCAATAAAAACATGACATTCAGATGTCATTAAATATAAATTAATACATTAATAATAGCATAGAAACAAAAGGAAAAAAATTAAATAGGCATTATATTATAAAAATAAACTCATTAAAAATAATGACATAATATTTTATTTAATTAAATTGGCATAATTTTATTTCTTTTTTCTTAAAAAAAAAAAAAGAAACGGTTCATATCTCATGTTTTGTCTGGCGTTGTTACCAATTCACACCCCATTTACGTTTTGATTCCGTCAATGACTTAAAAACCACATAGGGAATTTTGTCTGTTATAGCTTTTCCTCACGCTTGTTTCATTTTGATAATCAAATTTCATTCCCCCCGCTTCTTGGTCATTATTCGTAACGTTAACGTATTCTTGCTATACATTTTCATAATTCTTCGTATCATAAACTTCGTCAGCTATAGTTTGCTTTCACTTCACCGCACTTGTCGTGCCTAATCCGTTATTTGATTTATGGGAGTTGGTTATTATATGACGGTCTAAATATACTAATTTTAGTCAGTCAGTTTGCATAGTTTTCAAATGGCATCCTTCAATTAAATCATACTATTCAATACAGCAAATCACTTTTTAATATAATAAATATGGTTAATCTCAAACTTTTTTTTTTTTTCCTCGCTGCACTTTTCTCGTATGCACCCATTAAAGTTTACTCCTATTTAGTACAAGTACAAAGCATAGGTGGTCTCTCAGATTACACAGGAGATAATTTGCTTAGACAACACAAACAACATGTCAACCCAATTCAGCCAGCAAGAGGATGGAGCACCTTTCCAACAAACAGCAGCGTTCCAGTCATATCTTCTCTAACAACAAAGAGGAAAGGGTGGTCTGCTACAAAGTCTATCTTAGATGGCAAGCCCCTCAATTTTATTACAGCAGCACTAGCTGCAGCAGCTTCAGTGCCTTCTTCGTTGACTTCAATGAAAGCCTTATGGAATATGCTGGAAACATGCAAGTTCTGACCAACTAAAGAATCCACCATTTCTGTCAATTCTCCCCCAGAGAAAGGCAATGTTACCACCCCCAGTTCCTTCAGCGCGTTGGATATTTCAACCCCATAAGAAATCTTAAATTTTGGGATCCTAAAGTCACCCACTTCCTCTTGGGTTTGAGGAATATGACGTTCCAAGAACCCAGATTGTGAACCCAACTTCTCAATCAAAGCTGGCAGCCCGTCATTTGCATCTGGAAGAAGGAAATACATGGTGAAACGACGTTTATCTTCACCTTGCTTGTAAGGAAGACCAAGGACTTTGAACCCATCACATGCTCTAATAAACTGTTTTTTCTTGCTGGTCATGAAGGGAGCCTTCACTAAGCCCCCGCTCCCAAGGTGAAAGTCATATTCTTTGGTTGCTGATGCATCAAACTTATCATTCCAGGCTCCTTTAAAGTATAATGCATTAGCGAAAACGAGTCTGGTAGAGTTGTCAAGAGATCCCATAGGAAGAACCTCTTTAATAAGGCCACTCGTCTCCTTTTCTGCCCAAGCATTAATTTCTTGGGTCACTTGAACAGCCTATATAAATCATAACAATCACTTTATCACTTAATTATATTCAAATACTTAAAGTATAACAAAATTGTTGTGCTTGGTTCCCTTAAATTCCTTGCTTATATTAGATAATTACTAATAGTTTACATCAGGAGCAGAAAACACACTTTAGAAGAGGGTAGCAACTAGACATGCAAATGAAATAGGTTTTTTGCCATGCTTTAGAAGCATTAGTATCAAGTTAGTTGCCTTTTATCAAATTGCAAGAAATTTTGGGATTAGTTCACAAGTGCCACAAACTTTCTATGATAAGGAACAAGGCAATCATGTAACATCTCATTTAAAAACTATTTGGATTGATCACGCCTTTAAAAAGAATATAGATAGATGACATGTAAATCAATTAAAAAAACTACTTTACACCCTGAAATATTTACTCTGTGAAGATGAGAACTGGAAAAATGATTTGTGTGTGTGGAAAAAAGCTATGGAGAGAGATTGTAAGGGGTGCAAGGACTCAATTACTCAAAATTTCCTCACACAACAAAATCTGATGATGTTCTCTAAAACAGTTGTTAAAACAACATACGCAAACCACAAGCTACAAGTTGATTCCCAAATAATGTATGTTCCAAGCAATACGGGTAGATTAATATAAAAGCCCTGTCGTATCACTCAGTGTTTTCAACTCACATAATCTAGTTTCACTTACAATAACATGCATTAAGAATCTAATTCTTCTTTCCTAGTTTTACCAGATTTTTTCCCTTTCAAAAAAAAAAAAAAAAAAAATCTCCCAATTGCATGCCAATTGAAAAAATTGAAGCTAAATTAAGAAACTGCAAACAAAATAATCAAAAAGATTCAAAATTACATTCACAAGCATGATTGTACCTTGGTTTGGAAGTCCGCTTGAGACAAAGCAGCTTTATAATCAGAGTCAACAATCTGTTTGAAAGAAGGCTTGAGAGAAAGAGATTGATCGAGCCAGAGACCATTAGCAAAACACAAGCAGGGGCCACCACTGAGACTACCATCAGCGAAGACAACGGCGATGAGCTGAGAGGCAAAGGAGTTGAGATGATCTGTGGAGTTACACTTGAGGAAGGAGAGAAGTTGATCAAGTGTGGAACCCTTGGAACCAGCAGCCATGAGGCTAAGCACCACGTGGATGGACAAGGGTGAAAGCACCAAGTTATTGTCCTCGTCTCCCTTCAACAATAGATGCTTTGCAAAGCTCAATGAGACATCCGTTTGATTACTGATTGCTTCTCGCAAGTCCATTGTCCTCGAGTTGATTGCGATCTGCACAATGCTTCTCAAGTTGCCAATTTGCTCCTTTGTAATTTAGAACTTCCAAGCTTCCTTCAAAAGAAACTTTGCAATTAACTTCAACCAAAGTATTGTTAAAAGTTAGTTTAGTTAGAAGATTCTTTAATTAAAATATGATAATTATAAAAATATAAGTATAATAAACACGCTGATGGGCTTTGACAGGTGTGCCTACATGGCTATTTATGTGTTGGGGAGAAATGAATTTTTCTTGTTTGTTTTCTTTCAGCTTTCTGTGCGGATTGTGTCTATCGGCAATATGTTAGTTTTAGGATTAGAATGCTTAAAGTGGGTTTTGACGGCCGTAAGAGAAAGCCTAATATTTCACATAGAACTCCTTTCCAGATATAATCAACAAAATACAATGTTAATTCAAAGTTCAATTATCAATTCTGATTGAATTAATTGTGATTACATTAATATATTTTAAGTGACATATATTGAAAACAAAAAAGACATTCATCTATAATCAGAAAAAGCATAGCGTCAGTTGCAAAACATAACGAATATAATCATATGGCAATACCAAGTCCCGCTAAATAAGCTTTGGAACAACCATGAAGTAGCCCAGAAAGAGTAACCAATAAAACCATCTTACTTAGCTCATTAATCGCAATCTTCACCAATGATTAGTTTCCATCAACAATTCTTAAGATATATAAATAAATAAACAGATACTAATTATCATTATCACATATTGTGACCAACTACAGTAGCTGTTTAAACAAGTTATAATCCAAGTTATGGTAAATTCATGGAAAAAACAAGATATGGAACATCCGCACTCTATGATCTAAGGGAAAAGACATGGTCAGTAGGACCAGCTAAATCAAGTAAAGATTATTCAAGCCGAAACGAAAGGAAGTTAACATTCTTAAGTTGAAAAGCTTGCAG